TCTTCTTGTAGCCTTCACCTTTCTTGTGTAAAGGAATTATTTTCTTTCCTAGACCTTGTGACATTTCTCTTCCATGTGGTGCAATTGCTGACAGCATGAAATGGGAAGGGGTTTTCTTTGTTAAGTAAACACCATTTTTATAATCAACTGTCTGCTGGACACCTGTTTAATGAATAATTAGACTCACTGTAGTTGAATTCTTGTTAATTAAGATTCTGTTGTCTAAATTTAGCCATGCTCTTAAGAATTTAACCACTTGCCTACCAGGCACTTATACCCCCTTCCTTACCAGGCCAATTTTCAGCTTTCAGCGCTGCCGCACTTTGATTGACAATTGCGCGGTCATGAACATTGTACCCATATGAAATTTTGATCATTTTTTTCTCACAAATAGAACTTTCTTTTGGTGGTATTTAATCGCCACTGGGCGCTTTACTTTTTGCGCTATAAATTAAAAAAAGTGCAAAAAATTTGAAAAAAGTAAAAAAAGTTTTATTTTTTCTTTTATAAAATCTTTCAAACAGGTATTTTTTCATTTATGCTGATTTGCACTGTTGATGATATACACTGATGGGCACTGATAGGCGGCACTGATTTTAAACTGATAGGGTAAAGGGCACTGGTAGGCAGTACTAATGAGGTGGCACGTATAGGCGCACTGATAGACAGCAAATATAAGCACGGGGTACCACTGATTGACAAAAAACTGGGAAAAAACTATTGACTGGAGTATAATAGGCGGCACATGATTAGTGTGCACTGATCAGGGTACTGATAGGCACGGGAATAGTGGCCCTGATTGGCACTGACTGGCATCACTTCTGGGCACTGACTGGGGCACTGACTGCCCACATTGGGCACTGACTGGAGGCACTGACTGGCAGCACTGCTGGGCTGCACTGGTGGGTGTGCACTGGTGGGCAGCACTGGTGGGTGGGCACAGTGGGTGGCACTGGTGGGCACAGGGGGTGGCACTGCCCCATCACAGGTGGGTGGGCACAGGTGGGTGGCACTGTGGGCACATGTAGGTGGCACTTCTGGGAACAGGTAGGTGGCCCTGCAGAGTGGCACAGGTGGGTGCACTGCTGGGCACAGGTGGGGGCACTGCTGGGCACAGGTGGGGGCACTACTGGGAACGGGTGGGCGGGGCTAGTGGGAGGCTGGGCGGAACTTGCGGGGTGTCACTGCTGGGCACCGATCATCCCCATCATGATCATCAGTGCCCTGATGATCGGTGCCAATCCCCGCTCTGACACAATGCACGGTTCTCGGCAGTACTTTCCTCACGATCTGACAGCGTGCAGGAAAGTGCAGCCGAGAACCGGCACTTGCATTTCCCTGTGATCAGCGTGTCAGCAGAACCGCTGATCTGCACTTTCACACTCACGTGATCAGCTGTGTCCGGCGATCTTTTCGCCGGGTGTGCGCGCCCCCTGGGGCGCGCAGGAGAGCGCGTTCTGGGAGGACGTCATATGACGTCCACTCAGAACTAGCGGCGGGTCCACCTCCTTGCCGTGATTCGGCTATGCGCGGTCGGCAAGAGGTTAATTGGGGTGTATTCATTTTTGCAACATGGTCTTGAATGAATTTGTGTTAGGAAAAATACTTTTTTGTGTGTGCAAATTAACAAATCTTGTTTGCAATCAATGGCCTGCATTTGTGGGAGTATTTTGTAGTATGGTGTCCCATAGAAAATGTTGATTCTGAAAGGAAAGTAAACATTTTCTGACAAATCTGTTGGGGTGTACTCATTTATGCTGAGCACTGTATATATATATATATACACATGCAAATGTTTTGTCTTTCATTTCCATTTTAAAATGAATGGGTTGGTTTACAAGGTGAGGTTTCACATATATTTTAGCTTACAAGAATATGTACACCAAAATGTGTGGGACAGTTTTGAACTGTATTGAATACAGCAGTGAGTTCACAATCGTCCAAACAAAATAGGTGTGTTTGTCTTACTTTTCAGAGGTAGAGATGTCACCCATTTAGACAATTCAATTAGTTACCAGACAGTGTGTAACCCCCAGATTTTTCATGACCCAGTTGAAGACAGTGGTAGAAAGATTAAGGCTCCATGTACACTAGCTAAGTTCCTAGAAGCTGTTATTAGCATTTTTTTCTGCTCCTAGAAGCTAAATAGTGTTATCCTATGTATCCATACACACTATTTTAGGTTATTAATTTTTTTGAGCTTCAGCTTCTCGGAGCAAAAAAAAAATAGTTTTTTGGAGCATTTTTCCAGCAGAAAAAAAAAAATGCTAAATGCTTCTAAACACACCTAAATGCTCCCAAAACACAACTAACAGTTTTTTTCTAGCCTTTTCTTTTTTTTTCTACATGTACTGTAAAAATGCTAACACTCCTAGGCGCTTCTAAACGCTACTAAAATGCTACTAATAAATGCTATTACCAGTTTTTTTTTTATACAGCATATTTTCCAGCGTCTTTTGAGCTTAAAAAAAAAAAAACGCTAGTGTGCATGGAGCCTTAAAGTGTTACTAAACCCAGAAGCCTGCATTCACTATATCTGGTCTCCCACAGTAAACAGAACATGGAAATGCATTTATTTTAGTAAATATAAACTGCTAAATACCTTTTCTCATCAGCAGTTAAAGTAGTCTTGTGACTTCTATCAGTGTCCAGCCACGCACTGGTTAAAACTTGTAGGAGGAATTTAATTCTGCTCTAGGAGGAAGCAGGACCCATGACCTCTGTCTGGACAGTGCTGATTGGCCCTGTGCTGATCACACACACTCTCCCAAGAAAAAAAAAAAAAACCTCTCTAGCAATTCACCAAACTGAGCATGTGCAGGGTGAATCCAAACGATATGTCTTATCAGGAGATAAGAGGGGGACACTAGAAGAAGGGGAGGATCAGAGAAGACAGAATCAAATAGCGTTTTTACACAATTTAGAGGATTAACCCCTTAGGTTCCACAGTGAGTATAACAAGTATGCTTAACTGCAAATACAGACTGATTTTACTTTTGTGGGTTTAGTAACACTTTAAGCTTCTAGAACAGGCACCAAGAAAGCAGTTCAGTTGTTTATAATACATCAGGGTCACTCGACTGAAGGAGTGAACTGCTTTAGACAAAGACAAAGTCCATCCATTTTTTGTATGTGTTGATGTGTATCATGCATTGTATCATGTTGCACTGAAACAAAGTAGGACTTGCGCTACATTTTTTTTCCACCATATATCAGAAAAACACATCAATGTAAACTGCTCTCATTAACATACCTTATTCTTTACAGGTTCCTGCGTTGGCAGATATTGAAACAAATGTGCCAAGACATCTGGTGTGAATGGACCCAAAAAGAGAGAAGAGACAGATGGCATTATCAGTGTGCTGCAGCTCTATTATTGTCCAGTTTAGCAGGCTAGAGAGGTGTCTTCTTGAACAAGCTGTGCTCATGCTGCAATGAAGGTCAAGGATTTGTCTCTGCTTGTCCAGCAGGGGGTTGGTTCACAAGACTAGTTGCATGAGTAGAAAGGTGCAGTCTGTACTCCCCACTGTAGGTGGCGCTTGACCAAAGTGGCAGTACAGAAGGGGAAAGAAGTCTTGGGGAACTTAATACCTCTATGATTTCCTATAATCACCTGGGAGCAGCTTTCTGATCCCCTCCTGACCTCTGCGGTCATCTTGTTTGAGGGCAGAGCTTATTTAAGCTCCCTGATTTGGCAAGCATTTTGCAAGTGGCTAGGGTCGGGACAAGTTCCCTGCTTGTTAGGGACAGCACTTAGGTTCCCGTGAAGTAGGGAAAAGTGCAGGGACTACGTCCTACTCTTCAGAGAGGCTTCTTACTTTTGGTTGGACCAGCCAGGCTGCACTTTCACTCCTCGTTGGAGAAGCTGTCAGCATCACTCTAACTGCAGGATCGCTGCTGTGAGTTTGCAAGTGGCTCCAGACAGCTGTGCTCTGCCCCTGGACCTAGTTGTACCTTTTCTTGGAATTTACAATATACAGTTAACCACAATCTGGCTCTGTGTATTTCTGTGCCGCTGCCACACCACGCTGCACCCAGCTCACACAAAGTCTTGTATACATATTTACATATACACTGCTTAAAGAAATTAAAGGAACACTTTTTAATCAGAGTATAGCATCAAGTCAATAAAACTCCCGGGATATTGATCTGGTCAGTTATGTATTAGAGGGGGTTGCTAAACAGTTTCAGCTGCTTTGGTGTTAAAGAAATTAACAACAGGTGCACTAGATGGGCAACAATGAGATGACCCTTAAAACAGGAATGGATTTACAAGTGGAGGCCACTGAATTTTTTTCCCCTACTCATCTTTTCTGTTTTTCACTAGTTTTGCAATTGGCTAGGGTCAGTGTCACTACTGGTAGCATGAGGCGATACCTGGACCCTACAGAGGTTGCACAGGTAGTCCAACTCCTCCACGATACGTGCAATTACCAGAAGGATTGCTGTGTCTCCCAGCACAGTCTCAAGAGCATGGAGGAGATTCCAAGAAACAGGCAGTTGCTCTAGGAGAGCTGGACAGGACCGTAGATGGTCCTTAACCCATCAGCAGGACCGGTATCTGCTCCTTTGTGCAAGGAGAAACAGGATGAGCACTGCCAGAGCCCTACAAAATGACCTCCAGCAGGCCACTGTTATGAATGTCTCTGACCAAACAATCAGAAACAGACTTCATGAGGGTGGCCTGAGGGCTCGACGTCCTCTAGTGGGCCCTGTGCTCACTGCCTGGTACCATAGAGCTCAACTGGCATTTGCCATTGAACACCAGAATTGGCATGTTCACCACTGGCGCCCTGTGCTTTTCACAGATAACAGCAAAGTTCACCCTGAGCACATGTGACAGACGTGAAAGGGTCTGGAGAAGCCATGGAGAACATTATGCTGCCTGTAACATCGTTCATCATGACCGTTTTGGTGGTTGGTCAGTGATGGTCTGGGGAAGCATATCCATGGAGGGACGCACAGACCTCTACAGGCTAGACAATGGAACCCTGACTGCCATTAGATATCAGGATGAAATCCTTGGACCCATTGTCAGACCCTACGCTGGTGCAGTGGGTCCTGGGTTCCTTCTGGTGCACGACAATGCCCAGCCTCATGTGGCGAGCAGGGGCGGACTGACCATTTGGAAACTCGGGCACTGCCGAGGGCCCGGGGTCAGTAGGGGGCCCCATGAGATGCCCCTGGTACCTTTTTTTATAGGCTTTTTTGAGTTTGGGTAAGGACACAGGGGCCCCATGATCCCTATTGCCCGGGGGCCCCATGAGTTGTCAGTCCGCCCTGTAGCGAGAGTATGCAGGAGTTCCTGGAGGATGAAGGAATTGATACCACTGAATTGCCGCCTCGCTCGCCTGACCTAAATCCAATAGAACATCTCTAGGAAATCATGTTTCGGTCCATCCGACGCCACCAGGTTGCACCTCAGGCTGTCGAGGAGCTCAGTGATGCCCTGGTCAAGATCTGGGAGGAAAAACCCCAGGACACCATCCATCATCTCATTAGGAGCATACCCCGACATTGTCAGGTATGCATACAAGTATGTGGGGGCTATACAAACTACTGAGTACCATTTTGAGTTGCTGCAATTAAATTTCAGCAAAATGGACTAGCCTACTGCATCATTTTTTCACTTTGATTTTCAGGGTGTTTGAATTCAGTCCTCTGTAGGTTGATCGTTTTCATTTGCATCAAACGATGGGGCATCCTTGCGTTCCTAACACATTACCCAGTCCATATCAGTATAGATACCCACCATGATATTTTTCCCCATTGAGATCTGATGTGTTTTCAAAGTGTTCCTTTAATTTGTTTGAGCAGTGTATGTATTTCCACTGTGTATTTAGCTTTTTGCCTGGTGTTCATCTAAGGGAAGCTCTTTTCAGGAATGTGTTTTTGAACATAAAACAAAATAATATGGCATAAAGAATTGTATGAAATTTAAATTTTAAAGAGTCAAATTGGTAAAACAGTGATAGCAGTAGTGAAAAACGCATAGCCTTTGAAGAGGATTTTATTTCTTTTTTACAAGATTTTTTTTTTTCATGTTTCGATTACCACATCCATTTTTACTGTTGAAGTTCTGCTTTACAGCTCTCATGCAGATTAACAAGTCATGTGATAATTTGGCTCTTTAGAAAAATATCATTTCAAATTGCAAAGTGCTGTCAGCATTTAATTCTCATTGCAGATGCATGAAAAGTCATTTTCGTTACTGAGGTGTCTGCATAATTTGTATTCAGCAGTAATTCTGTCTGCCGCTGGCGCTAAGTGAAGTTGGTATAGGTACTAATAAGAGTCTAGTGTTAATGAAATTGTCAAGAATTATCCACAGCAGTTTAAAGGAAATCTTGACTTAATTGGAGCATTTATTGGCTATGCGGTATCCTTATGTAAACTGGAAACTGTCATAACTGGGTTTTTTTTTCCTTCTTACACATGGAAGAGATTTTAGGTGTCTATTAAAATCTTCAGATAATTTTACAACAGCAGTCGTTCTTGTTAAAGATGCATTAACTTGCAGGTAACATTTGCTCTATTCCTCCTAGTTCAGAAAGCATAACATTTTAAATTAGGACACTAGCATCCCTTTGTGAAAATACTGCAGAGAATTGGGGATTGCCTGCAGAGATTTAAAGCAAGCTTGTACATTCCCTAGCAGCCTATACATTTTTTTGCCACCTCGCTTCTCTGTTTAGATGCCAGATGCAAAGGAAATACTCAGTACTTACAGGTATGGAGGAGAATGAGACTCACTCCATCTGAGACTGTTGCTCTTTACTGTCTATTCACTCTCATAAACTGCAAGGGGCAGAAAGAAGTGAAGAAACAGTGAGTATGCAGCTAGGGAGGAAAGAATTAAAGTAAAATGGTTGCTTGGGCAAAATGTGCAAAAACCTATAATAATCAGATTTCCACTATATGATGAATATCAATATCAATCACCACTGTGCAGCACTGCACAGTGGTGATTGATAATGGTATTCATCATATAGTGTAATTTTGGGTGGTGTAATACTTCAGCTGCATTAGTTTGGCTTTATGTAATGGTTTGAAATTTTGGGTTTGTGGTAATGCACTGATACAATTTTGTTAACACTGAGTACGAGTACCGGTACTTTTTTAAAGTAGTCACCGATACCAATTACCGATACCTATTGCCTGGGAAGAAGGTGGTGGTTTGGGAGGTTTGGTGAGGATGGGGTGAGGCTGGTGAGGCTGGGGGGAGGGCAGGGTGGGATGGGGGGTGAGTACGAGGGAAAGTGAGGGCAGATTAGTTGAGGGTGGGTGGGGTGGTATAGGGATTGTGGGGTGGGAGGGCTGGGGTGGTTGGGATGGAAAAGGTTGTGATCACTGGGGAGGAGAGAAGGAAGGGTGGGAGGGTCATTGGGAGATCGCTGGATGGCCAGAAGCACCTCTAAAGTGTTAATTTGGGGTGGCAGAGGATAGGGCATGGGGGGGGCTGGGCTATGTATTGGTGGCTGTGAACACAAGACATGAACAGTAACAGTAGGAGTACAATAAAAGGATGCTAACGAGCGCTACCCTTAGCGTTAAAAAGTAAAGATTAAGCTGCTGAAACACCAAGTTGAAACACAGTAGGAGGTTTTGGGAGTTGAGGACAATGTTGGGAGGGATGGGGGCTGTTGTAGGGTTAAGAGCGATGGGGGTAGAGGAGGGAGCTGAAAAGACATGGGGGCAGAGGGTGACCACTGGTGGAGAGAAGGAGGAGACTGAGAATGCACCAGGAAGACGTGACAGCTGCTGGGAGGGGAGGAGGAGGCGGGAAGGCATTGTGTAGTTAACAGCTGGCGGGAAGAGAAGAGGAGGTGGGGACAGCATCGGGCAGAGCTGACAGTTCTCAGGAAAGAGATGTGAGGAGCCAGCCAGCTTGTGGTTGCAGAGGAGGATGGCAGGGTTGGACATGAAAAGTGGTGCAGGGGAAGTGGATTGATGATGAATGGACAAAACCAGGGTTGAGCAGTGGTAACAAGATGAGGGAGAGGGGTGAATGGCTACAGCGGGAATGATGCTGGTGGAGAGTGTGAAAGAGAAAGGGGAGATAGTGCTGGGACACTAGATGATTGGGAAGGGGTAATCTTTTTGATGGATGGATAGATAACTATTGCCGGCATTCTTTTGTTTCCGTTTTACCTGTCAACAGTGGGATCTGTCTGACAGCTGAAAGAGCCAAACCTGAAGGTATCGGTAAGATACCTGTAGTATTGGAGCATTTGCATGAGTACTGATACTTGTGCAAATGCTTAGTATCAGCACTGATACCGTTTATTGGTTAGTGTATTTTTTTATTATTTAAAGTGCGGAGTAGTGATATATTCTATATTTCTTTGAATAACCATATTTTACTGATATTTCAGGGTTTGGGCACACACTGTTGGAGTGAATTGTCCACTAGTATATATCTGTTTGAAAACAGTTGGTATCTCTACCTGCAAACCCAAATTCATTCCATAGAATAATCCATAGAAGAGCACAACATCATTGTTTAGCTTCGAAAAATGCAGAACAGGAACTTTTGGTGGATATATGTCACCACTGAATTTCCCAGAAGATATAACAAGCCAGCCTGTCTTTCAACTACACTAAAGTGAAGTGAAAATGTCCTTTAAAGGGAATACATAGCTTTTTTACATATATTTCTCTATTTACTGTTCATAGAACTAAAACATTTAAAATATAAAACAATACATAACAATTAATTAATAATATAATATATAACAATAAAATATTTATTGAGTTCCTTTTTGCAGTTAGGTAAACATTTGCATACTGATAATGTGAGTTCTCAGTTCAGCCTGCAGATGGAGCATTCAAACCCTTTTAATGTGTTTTACAGGTTCTCTTTAGCCCATATGTTTAAAAGCCTGATATTTACAGACCTAAAGAAGCTATTTATGTACATAAGTGAATGAGTAAGTGCAATTGCCCTGTTAACAATTTTTTAGCAGAGAGTCTGAATGAAGCCCTAAGAGAACACATTCAGTGTGTCAAACAAACTGGTCTTTTAGTAAATCAAATACTTAGTTTCACTGTTTTTTCATCAGTTGATGCATCTCAGTCCTGCTGATCTCCTGAAGCCTTTTTGGATTACTTGCTGTATACATCTACGCACTTCAATGGGATCTGCATGGAGTGGTGGGTCTCCTTTTGGTCACAACAATGAACTGGATATGTGTAAAATGTGTTAAAAGAGCCACATGCAGTCTCTCTCAGAAACACTTGTGACAGGGTGACAAGGCATGGGCACAACTGGGAGACAGGAACAACGTGTTGTCACCCTGGTACAGAAAGTACCTGAACAAGGACAGGCATGGTAGGTTCCAGGTATTATATAAATAAAAAGTTACGTTTGAAATTACAGGAACAAGTTAAAAGATTTAAAAGAAAAGTTCGGGATTACAAAAAAAACATAATTTATAGTCATCTAGGAAGATGCAGCATGGACCTAACACTGCAACTGTGCCCCATCCCCCACCACCCCCTCACACCAAGAACAGAGCAATCAAAGATTGCTGATTGTTCAGTTCTCGGTCTTCAGTGAGCAAAATTCAAAAATTCCTGATGCCCCTCTAGAGCTTACTTGGGTGGCAGGCTGTGGAGGTGGTGGGAGCAGCTCCATCAGGTTTTTAGTGACTCACTGAGAGCTTGAACCAACTGCCGGTCCAGGGATCTGGGTTGATGCCAACATTAACAGCTTGCCTGCCACCCTATAGCAGAAATACTGCTACAGAGCGCAGGGCAGTGCAAAATCATATATATCTATATATATATAGATATATTACAGTATATATATATATATATATATATATATATATATATATATATATATATATATATACATGTGTGTATGTTTGCAATTCCAGGTAGGGGGTTCATGTGAGCCCTTATCTGCACCAACAATGGCAGCTTCAGCTGTCAATCACCAGGTCCGGTGATTCCCTGCCGGCTCCTGGCGATCGCAGAGTATCACTGACAGGGGAGAGGTCCGTATGTAAACAATACAGATCTCTCCCCTGTCAGTTCCAGCACACTGCTTTGTATTGCTCTGCATAGCAGAGCAATACAAAGCAATGTGCTAACATAGTATAAAAACAGCACACAGTAAAACAGCACACAGTTAACCCTTTGATCATCCCAGATCTTAACCCCTTCCTGCCCAGTGTCATTAGTAC